TTGCTTTCTACATTGCCTAACTGCACAAAACAAAGAACCCAAGAATTCCCAAAGCTCCTTATCAAGAAATCATACTTCTCCAGTCTGTACACACAAGCATGATAACCTTCTTTCTTGGATTGGAAAAAAAGTCAGTTATGAATATATATGGCGATTCAAAAATGTTCCATGAAATGATTATCGGGTATTGAGAAGGAACTGTAACACTGGAAAAAGGAGCGCGTCCTACCTTAAGTGCCGGTTAAGTTCTTCCACGTAATTTTTTTGATCAAGGACATCAGTAATTCTTTCGTGCCTTTTAAAAAGAGCATAAAAAGAGAGAAATTCCTTTAATTCGTGGATAATACTTTGTAACCATCCCCCAATGTGCGGATCACCTTGAGGAAGTACCAGTATCATCAGGAAACCAAGGGACAGTCAGACCTCAGTAATAATGTCTGCCTGGTCCCGGTCCCGGAGTGAACAGAGAGCAAAGCTGGCCAAGGGGTGGGGTGTGGTGGGGACAGCAGCCAGGGCCTTGGGAGATGCAGAAACGTGAGCAGACCTCGGGCAGACACCCTCCTGCCCTGGCAGGCCAGGCATTTGGGAAGAGGAGAGAAAGCCATCTGGCATGCAAGGTGCAAACACCGACGGCCATGTGCAAATGGCCCTCCCTTGAGGTGGTGGATGCAATAGCCCTTGTCGTGCGGAAGGGAAAGAGCGTGGCTCAGAAAAGGAGACCAAAGGCTTTTCAAAACATAAAGCTGACTGGTCTGGCTAAAAAAAAAAAGGGTTGAACATTTTAAAGTTAGACTCGCCCCCCAGCCCCCAATTTCTTTACATACATACATATATACGTATGTTCACACAGGGATCATTCTACACAGGTGCCTGCATTATTCAGCATGGTCGATTTTTTTCTTTTACCTGTTCTGCCCTTCACATAGCTCTGCAGGTAACCCACATGAATAGTCTGTGGAGCCTATATGCATATCATAATATCCATCTGTATTATATAGATAGGATATGTAATTGAAACACAAAAAATACACTAGGGATTTCTTAGGTTTACAAAAATGATATATGGTTGACCCTTGAATAATGCAAGGGTAGGGGTGCCAACCTCTGCATATAGCTTTTGACTCCTCAAAAACTTACACTAATAGCCTACTATTGACTGGAAGCCTTACCAATGACATAATCAATTAACACGCATTTTGTGTGTTATGTGTATTATATACTCCCGTCTTACAATGAAATAAGTTAAAGAAAGTGTTATTAAGAATATCATAAGGTGGAGGGGGGCGCCTGGATGGTGCAGTCGGTTAAGTGGCCGACTCCTGATTTCGGCTTAGGTCTGATCTCAGGTTTGTGAGATCGAACCCCGAGCCAGGCTCCACGCTCAGCGCAGCGTCTGCTTGGGATTCTCCCCTCCTCTCCTTCTGCCCCTCCCTCCCCTTCTCTAAAATAAATAAATCTTAAAAAAAAAAATCATAAGGAAAACACACTTACAGTGCTGTCCTGTATTTACTGAAAAAAAAAAATCTGTGTATAAGTAGACTTGTGCAGTTCGTACCTGTGCTGTTCAGGGGGCAGCTATATACATTTCTCAGTATCATACTTTCCTCACTCGATAATACCTTGTGGAAATCCCTGTAAGTCTACTATACCCCGTCGGTCAAATTTGTTATGGCTGCATAATATGTCACAGAGTGGAATATTTTGAATGCTCCATAATTTATTCAATTATCTCCTTATTGATAATCAGTTTATTTCCATTTCTTTACATTAACTATATATCAATTTTATTTTTAAGTAATCTTTATACCCAACACGGGGCTCAAACTTGCAATCCCAAGATCAAGAGTTGCATGCTCTACCGACCGAGCCTGCCAGGCGCCCCAAGAATACATTTTTGTTTAAGTCTCAAGTGGGTGAATCCTTGTACTCAAGATGCCTGAAGCATTAATGGGGTTCCCGCTGCCAGCTAAGGTGTGCTGCTGGGACAGAGACTGTGAGAATCCTTACGGGAACACGTTGGAAAGACAGGTGGCAAAAGAGTCAAACACAGCCCAAGGGTTTACAGTGAAGCTCCCCCCCATGCCGGCCCCCGGCCAATTCCTCTCCAGGCAGCCAGTGTGAGCAGGTCCATATGCTCCTCTAGAAGCAGGCCATGCGCGTGGAAGTGCAACATATGCATATGGATGTATATTCTTTATCATAATTCAAATGGTAGCAAGTTATACACACTGTTTGCTTTGTTTACTTCTCTTTTTTCCCAGAATAGCTCCTTTAAAAGAATGCTCTTGGAGGGGAAGAATGAAGGGGGGGAAATTGGAGCGGGACATGAACCATGAGAGACAATGGACTCTGAGAAACAAACTGAGGGTTCTTAGAGGGGAGGCAGGTGGGAGGATGGGTTAGCCTGGTGATGGGTATTAAAGAGGGCACGTACTGAATGGAGCGCTGGGTGTTATATGCAAACAATGAATCATAGAACACTACATCTAAAACTAATGATGTATGGGGATTAACATAACAATAAAAACATTGGCATAAAGTCAAAAAAATAAAAATAAAAATAAAAGAATGCTCTTGTTAGCAGCACGAAGGAGAGCTACACGTGGCATGAAGAGACATCCAAGACACGCCAGGATCAAAGGACAAGCCCAAAGGCAACTTATGTCTACATAATAGTACTGTCCCATTCATATTCAAACAAACCATAAGGCAAATTGTACTACCAACAAATATATCCCCGCAAGGCATTTAGAAAAGCCCTGGGAGGGGACACGAGAAGCTTCCTCTGAGGGGACTGAGCTGGAGATGGGGGGACAGTGTGAATGGGGACGTTTCACTTGTCCTTTCTATTCTGCAGAGCTCAATTCCTTGCACATGGGAATATTAATGTATTACTTCTGTAACTAAAAACGCCTAATGAAAATGAAAATGGCCCACAAAGCAAACACAAATGTAGCATTCTTTGCCAGAATTTCATGAAACGTGAAGAGCGCAGCATGCAGGGTGGTACTTACTCTTTGCCACCATCAAGATCCTGCACATCCTTAAGGTAGAGGGAAAAATCAATCACTCCAACCTGATTGACATAAAATATACAAGTTTAAATAAGAGAAACTTGTCCCGTTTTCCACAAACCTTACATCTTTAAAATTCAGGGTATTTACATTCCTGTCTCTTTCCTACAAACATCTAGTTGTGCTAACTAGCTCTATAAAATAGCAATCAACTGAACAAACAAACCAAAAGGAAAATAACCCCACCACCTTCTAGAAGAAAAACGTATTAAAAATCAGAATTTAGCGGGGAGCGCCTGGGTGGCTCAGTCGGTTAAGCAACCGACTCTTGATTTCGGCTCAGGTCATGATCTCAGGGGCGTGAGATTGAGCCCTGCGTCGGGCTCCATGTTCAGCAGGGAGTCTGCTTGAGATTTTCTCTCTCTCTCTCAATAAATACATCTTAAAAAAAAATCAGAATTTAAGGGAATATTCTGAAATTTTACTCCCTTGTCAAGGTTAGTTTTGTGTATTTATTCAACAATCAAGTTGCTGACAAAGATCAACAAAGTCCTTCAGGTACAAAGTAATTAAAAAAAAAAAAAAAAAAGGCCTGGATCGCTAGATCGAGGTGGTAGGTAACCTTAACTGACACTCTGCCTCCTTCCTTCCCTAAATCATGGGTGAAATGGTCCCATCCCATTTTCCAGGGGACATTCTCTGCTGCTGTGGAGAACGAGGGAGGACCCAAACCTCTCCCATCTGAATGTCAAGGGCTTTGTCCAGAAATAAAGCACTCGGGAGAGAATGAGAGGCTGGTCTGCCACTTGTCTACTCCAGTGTGAGTAAATGAAGCCACTCCTATTTGAAAAAAGGGAAAACTGGGTCGACCAATAGATATTTATCACTCATGTAGCAGACGAATCACAGATCCCTATGCAACTGTAACGAAGAATGCTGTAGATGGATGTATAATGACATGAAGAAAGCTCCAGGAGAAAATGTTAAATCCTAGAGCAATAGGTATCTCATTAACTCTGTATAGTATCACCATTTTTTAAAAAAAAGATTTATTTATTTGAGAGAGAGAGCATGAGCACGGGGGGAAGGAGCAGAGGAAGAAGGAGAGAGAAATCTCAAGCCGACTCTGTGCTGACCATGGAGCCCAAGCAGGGCTCGATCCCACGACCCTGAGATCACGACTGGAGCTGAAACCAAGAGTCGGATGTTCAACCGACTCAGCCACCCAGGTGTCCCTATAGTAACACCATTTATGTTAAAGCCAGAGCCACGTGTGATGGTTTCTGTAACTTCTCTGTCACACCTCCCACCAATCTACATTCCCGACCCTTGAACCTGGGCAGCCTCAGGGTCTGTCTTGAGTAAAAAGCGGCAGAAATGTTGCTGTGATTTCTGCAGCCATGTTAATGAAGGCAACATAAGCTTCTTCCTGGCTCTCCCTCTAGAGGCATATACCTTTGAAGTTCTGAGCTTCCACGGAGGAATTCTGGCTACCCTGGAGCCATGACCACATGAGGACAGAGGTGCCTGAGAAGCCTCTGCTGTTCCAGTCCCAGCTCACTGAGTCCCTTCTCAGCCCCAAGACAGACAAGCAAGACAGGAAGCCTCAGTGATTGCTGCCCCTGCCAACCTGCCTGCAATCACAGGGCCCTTAGTCAAGAAGTACCTGCCTCTCTCAGCCCAGTCAACCCCCAACCATGAGATACAGTGATGGCTACCGGTTACCTGGCTGGTGATTCCTTACCCAGAAAAAGGATTTAATCTGAAACAAAACCTATGTATATATAAATGCATAGAAAAAGTAGAACTGGTTCTAGAAAGACTTTCCCCTCAGTTTTTACCATCATCTACGGGGATGAGTGGGATTGACAGGGGAGGGGAGAAGGGGAGTTTCAATTTTACTTTTCACTTGATATGCTTCTGTATAAACTTTTTTCAACAAGGATGCATTTCTTTTGCAATAAATAATAAAAATTAATAAAGGGTGCCTGGCTGGCTCAGTGGGTGGAGCATGAGACTCATGATCTCGAGGTTGTGAGTTCAAGCCCCACACTGGGTGTAGAGATTACTCAAAAATAAGATTAAAAGGGGCGCCTGGGTGGCTCAGTTGGTTAAGCGACTGCCTTCGGCTCAGGTCATGATCCTGGAGTCCCGGGATCGAGTCCCGCATCGGGCTCCCTGCTCGGCAGGGAGTCTGCTTCTCCCTCTGACCCTCCTCCCTCTCATGCTCTCTGTCTCTCATTCTCTCTGTCTCAAATAAATAAATAAAATCTTAAAAAAAAAAAAAATTAAATAGGGTGCCTGGGTGGCTCAGTCGTTAAGCGTCTGCCTTTGGCTCAGGTCATGATCCCGGGGTCCTGGGATCGAGTCCCGCATCAGGCTCTCTGCTCTGCGGGAAGCCTGCTTCTCCCTCTCCCACTCCCTCTGCTTGTGTTCCCTCTCTCACTGTATCTCTCTCTATCAAATAAATAAATAAAATCTGAAAAAAAAAATTAAATAATAAAATTTAAAAAAATTAAGTAAAAAAGAAATACATTTTCAACTGTGAAAAACCCCAACAATAGAAAGGAGAGAGGGACGCCTGTGTGGCTCAGTCGGTGGAGCGTCTGCCTTCAGCTCAGGTCATGGTCCCGGGGTCCTGGGATCCAGCCCCGCATCGGGCTCCCTGCTCTGCGGAGAGCCTGCTTCTTGCTCTCTCCTTGCTCCTACCCCCTACTCATGCTCTCTCTGTCAAATAAATAAAATCTTTCAAAAAAAAAAAAAAGAAAGAAAGAAAGAAGCGTTAGCACTCAAAGTAGACATTAATGGATCGGGAAGCAAATAAAGCCCTTCTCCCAAGGCAGAAGGCAGAACTGGTCCATAAAAGTAAGAGCTGGTTCTTCAAATTCAACACAGTAGACAAATTCTATCCAGTACGATCAGTATTTAGTAGCAAGTGCACAGTATGCAAATGAGAAAAGTGAGATTTTAAGAAGCTGTGAGGGAACACTCTCATGTAACTAATAGGTCTGAATGAAATAAATGATTTCTGGAAAAATACAAATGACTAAAAAATCGTCCCAAGACACAGGAAACCAACAAACTGACCAAGAGCTAAGTAAAAAATTAAAGTGGTCAAAGAACTAGGACCAAAAAAAAAAAAAAAGCATAATGCTGAAGAGATCATACCAGGAAGACACCTTCAAATAGAAAAATAATTTGTGCTCTTATCAACAGTTCCGGAAAACAAGAAAAAAACATTATCCAGCTTATTTTGTGAGATTAACACAATTCTGACACCACAAAGGGACAAAGACCTATTAAATCTAGGCGCACGCTAGAAGAATAACACACGATGGCCACTCTGGGTTTATTTTAGGAATGCAGGGGTAATATCACAACAGGAAACCTATGAATGAATTCAATTATATTTATGGGTTAAAAAATATGACATTTTGGGCGCCTGGGTGGTTCAGTTGGTTAAGCGACTGCCTTCGGCTCAGGTCATGATCCTGGAGTCCTGGGATCGAGTCCCGCATCGGGCTCCCTGCTCGGCAGGGAGTCTGCTTCTCCCTCTGACCCTCCTCCTTCTCGTGCTCTCTCTCATTCTCTCTCTCACAAATAAAAAAAAAATAATAATAAAAATAAAAAAATAAAAAAAACGTAAAATAAATGAGACTGGAATAGTACTTTCTAAACATGAGGAGGAAGATTCCTGAGACATCAGCAGCAAGCATTCACACGTCATGGCGGCGTATGAGAGGCCCTGAGCTGAAGAACAGACCGGGGAAAAGTACAGAAGCCTGGAATCACTGCACTGGACACCTGCAACTCACAGGACGCCATGTGTCTGCTAGAATTAACAAAAAAAATTCTACCGTGAGCACAGACACACACACAGAAATTCTAATTTAAAACTAAAAACGAATGAAACAGCTGACTACTGTCATTTCAGAGGACTCTTCAAAGGTTCCCTCAGACTGTCTCTTAAATAATGGTAATAACGATAAATAACAGTACAGGGATGCCCGGGTGGCTCAGTCAAGCTCTGCCTTCGGCTCAGGTCATGATCTCAGGGTCCTGGGATCCAGCCCCGCGTCAGGCTCCCTGCTCAGTGGGGAGCCCTCTCCCTCTCCCCCTCCACCCCCCACTCGTGCTCACTCTCTCTCTCAAATAAATAAATAAAATCTTAAAAAAAAAAAAAGACTGTTACTGACATAGGATAAAGAGATTCAGAGACTAGGCTTCTGAGTCCAGAAATAAACCTCATTGGATTATGGATATTTCACACATAAAGGTGTGAAATAAAGGTGAAATTCCAAATTAGTAGAAAAATGTACTTGATACATGATATTGAGAAAACTGGTTTACTGTTTGTAAACGAAACCTAGACTCCCATTTCACACTATGTCAAAAGAAATGACAGGCATTATTTAAATGTAAAAAATACAGTTGACTTAAAAAATCAGGTTAATTTTTAGATGGGAAAGGACTTTCTAAGCACAATACCTTAGACGGTATAAAGAAAAAGTCCATTAAGTGTGAATGCTGGGGCGCCTGGCTGGCTCAGTCAAGAGAGCATGCAACTCTGGATCTCGGGGCTGTGAGTTCGAGCCCCACAGTTGGGGGAAGAGATTATGTAAAAATAGAATCTTTGAAAAAAAAATAAAATAAATTTGACTACAAAAAAACCCCTTTTTGTCCTTGCAGGGAAAACAGCTGTAAGAAACTAGAAAAAAACTGATAACCAAAATTCTGAGTTAATATCATTAATCTATAATAAAGGAGTGGAAAAGAAATGGAAGACTCAGAAAAATGGGAGGAACTGGAACAGGGAGTCACAAAAGGAACAGGAAGGGGGAATCACGAAAACTGAACCACCAATGGCAAATAACATATAAAAAATATACTTGACCTCCTGAGTTCTCAAAAATGTAAATTTGCCGGGGCACCTGGCTGGCTCAGATGGTAGAGCATGTGACTCTTGATCTCAGGGTTGTGAGTTCAAGCCCCACGTTGGGCATGGAGCCTACTTTAAAAAATAAATAGGGGTGCCTGGGTGGCTCAGTTAGTTGACTTTTTTTTTTAATTAAATTTTTATTTATTTATTTATTTAAAGATTTTAATTCTTCATTTGAGACACAAGAGATACAGAGAGAGAGAGAGCATGATCAGGGAGAGCGGCAGAGGCAGAGGGAGAAGAAGACTCCCCGCTGAGCAGGGAGCCTGATGCAGGGCTGGATCCCAGGACCCTGAGATCATGACCTGAGCCGAAGGCAGATGCTTAACCATCTGAGCCACCCGGGTGCCCTAAAAAAAAATTTTTTTTAAAGATTTTATTTATTTCTCAGAGAGAGAGCAAGAGAGAGAGACAGTGAGAGAGGGAACACGAGCAGGGGGCGTGGAAGAGGGAGAAGCAGGCTTCCCGCGGAGCAGGGAGCCCGATGCGGGGCTCGATCCCAGGACCCTGGGATCATAAACGAGCCGAAGGCAGAGTTGCCCAACGGACTGACCCACCCAGGCATCCCTAATTAAATGTTTTAAAGAAGATTTTATTTATTTGAGAGAGCGCACGCATGCGCACGCGCGCTCGTATGAACAGGGGGAGGGGCAGAGAAAGGAGAAGCAGACTCCCCACTGAGCGGAGAGACCAACTCAGGGCTCGATCCCAGGACCCTGAGATCATGACCGAAGGGAGACGCTTAACCGACTGAGCTACCCAGGCACCCTTTGACTGACTCTTGATTTTGGCTCAAGTCTTGCCTGGGGGCGGGGGGGGGGGGGGTCCGCGCTCAGCGGGGAACCTACTTGAGATCCTCTCCCACTCCGGCACGTGCATGCTCTAAGATAAATCTTTAAAAAAAAAAAAAAAAACTAAGCATGCTTTAAAAAAAAATGTAAATTTGAGAAGAGCTGTTTTGGTCTATGAGATTGAAAAAGATCAAGAATGCTCATTATGACGTCATAATACTAATGTAGAATGTTTACTTTAACACAGAAATCCCAAAATGTATTCTAAGGAAATCAATGGACAACAGTAGGAAGAGGTATGAGGATGTTTATAGTACTGTGGTAATACAGAATCAACCTTAGTTAATAAGGTACTGGTTAAATAAATTACAGTATGCTCATAAAATGAATACAGGCATACATCGTTTTATTGCCCTTTGCTTTACTGCACTTCCCAGACTGCATTTTTACAAGCTGAAGGTCTGTGGCAGCTCTGTGTTGGACAGGTCTATCAGCACCGTTTTCCCCACAGCATTTGCTCCCCCCATGTCTGTGTGTCACATTTTGGTAATTACATATTTCAAACTTTTCCTATTTCTACCTTTGTTATGATGATCTGTGATCAGTGATTATGACTCACTGAAAGCTCAGATGATGGTTAGAATTTTTTTGCAAGAAAGAATTTTAAAATTAAGGTACGGGGGCGCCTGGGTGGCTCAGTTGGTTAAGCGTCTGCTTTCAGCTCAGGTCATGATCCTAGGTCCTGGGATTGAGCCCTACATCGGGCTCCCTACTCAGCAAGGAGTCTGCTTCTCCCTCTCCCTCTGACCTTCTCCCCGTGCTCGTGATCCCTCTCTCTCTCAAATAAATAAAATCTTAAAAAAAAAATACTTTATATTGACTTTTTATTTAATTTACTTAGCTTAATTTTTATTTTTATTATTTACTTACACATTGATTTTTTTTTTTAAAGATGTTGTGATAGGCCACAGTATAGTGTAAACATAACTTTCATATGCACCGGGAAACCAAAGAAAGTCATGACTCGCTCTACTGAGCTATTCACTTAATTGCAGTGGTCTGGAACCAAATCCGCAGTCTCTCTGAGGTAACGCTTCTCCTGTGCAGCCGTTTAAATGGCTCGTATCTCCACTGACATTGAGAGCCACGTGGGACATAGTGTCAAAAAAACATTATAAAACGGTGTGTGCCTGGAATAATCATATTTTGGTTTAACAAAAGAAAGTCCAAATACCCCTAAAATATAAAAACACACACACACCCTTATTCATGTGTTGAAAGGATAGATATCAAAATGTAACATTAAATTAATTAGCTGAGTAACGGGAT